GTACCGGTCGTACACAGCCAAATGTGAGTACTGGTCGTTTATAGCTATATCTGAGTACTGGCCGTACAAAGCTATATCCGAGTACTGGTCCTACATAGCTATATCTGAGAACTGGTCGTACATAGCTCTATCCGAGTACTGGTCTGACATAGCTATATCCTAGTACTGGTCGTAGATAGCTATAGCCGTGCACTGCTCGTCTCTAGCTATATCTGTCACTTGGTCTGTCCTGTCGTATCTATAAGCGAGTACTGGTCTGACACACTGTACACGGTGATATTCTATCAGTAATGTACACGCAGAAATTCTATGAACACCGTACACGCAGATGTTCTATGAACACCGTACACAGAGATGTTCTATGAAAGCTGTACACGCAGATATTCTTTGAACACTGTACACGCAGATGTTCTATGAACATTGTACACGGAGATGTTCTATGTAAGATGTACACGCAGATATTCTATGATCACTGTACATAGAAATGTTCTATGAAAGCTGAACAAGCAGATATTCTATGAACACTGTACACGCAGATGTTCTATGAACACTGTGTACTCAGATGTTCTATGAACACTATACACGCAGATGTTCTATGAACACTATACACGCAGATATTCTATGATCACTGTACATGGAGATGTTCTATGAAAGCTGAACAAGCAGATGTTCTATGAAAACTGTACACTCAGATGTTCTATGAACACTGTACACTCAGATGTTCTATGAACACTGTACACGCAGATGTTCTATGAACACTATACACGCAGATGTTCTATGAACACTATACACGCAGATGTTCTATGAAAGCTTTACACGGAGATGTTCTATGAACACTGTACACGTTTATGTATTTTTGACGGATCAGTATCATGGCACACGGGTGTAACCCATAAGTGCTCCGTCCTGCTTTTAACCCAAACCTGAGTCTGAAGAATCACAGCGCAGAGCACGAACCCCGTTGCACCGGGGAGAATCCTGAAAAACTTCGGGTGGGTTTTGAACTCCACATTTTGCCCGGGCAGCGCTGTTAGGCTTCTCTTTTCGATTTCCAACTACCTATGAATTTGTTTACGTGCTGAAGAATACACACGGGCGTCTGTCTTGCTCCCCTAGACAGCAGGGAAAATTACAAGAAGTCCACGTGAAAAAATCCCTGCCTTCACTGTGGCTTAAACCCAGGACCTCCAGCACTCGAAGCGGACACCATACCTTGAGACCAGTCAGCCCCACTGTACACGGTACACGGAGGTGTACTATGAAATATTTACCGCGAAAGTACGACCCGTGCACTGAAGTCTGACAGTTTTGACAGGGAAAATGCCGCCTGTCACAGACGCTTGTCAGCGGGAATCTAATTCATAGCAATTAGCGAAACAGTGACGGCATGTTTGCCAGTCAGGCATCCACTAGCTCACGGGCTGTCACTGGCACATAAACAAACACGTTCACACATCACAGCAGTCAGATCAGTTTGTTCATAAACATGTCTTCACCTATACAGAAACAAGATCAGTTATCCTCAAACATGTCTTTATCAATATAAAACAGATCCGTTTGTTCTCAAAACATGTCTTCACTGACACAGAAATCAGATCAGTTTGTTCTCAAACATGTCTTCACCTACACAGAAACCAGATTAGTACATCCTCAAACATGTCTTTACCTACACAGAAAGTAGATCAGTTGGTTGTCAAACATGTCTTCACCTACACAGAAACCAGATTAGTGTATCCTCAAACATGTCTTTACCTACACAGAAACAAGATCAGTTATCCCCAAACATGTCTTTACCTACACAGAAACAAGATCAGTTATCCTCAAACATGTCTTTATCAATATATAAAACAGATCCGTTTGTTCTCAAACATGTCTTCACTGACACAGAAACCAGATCAGTTTGTTCTCAAACATGTATTTATTTACACAGAAACCAGATCAGTTTGTTCTCAAACATGTCTTTACCTACACCGAAACCAGATCAGTATGTTCTCAAACATGTATTTACCTACACCGAAACCAGATCAGTTTGTTCTCAACATGTTTTCTCGTACACAAAAACCAGATTAGTTTTTTTCTCAAAGATGTCTTCATCGACACAGAAACCAGATAAGTTTGTTCTCAAACATGTCTTTACCTACACAGAAACCAGATTAGTTTGTTCTCAAACATGTCTTCACCGATATATAAACCAGATCAGTTTATCCTCAAACATATCTTCAATGACATATACATCAGATCAATTTATTCTCAAACATGTCTTGGCCGGGAAGTCACCGTAGCATTGTGGCAAGACGCTCCCGTACGGATCGGAAGGTCCGGTGTTCGATTCCTGGAGGAGCTAGACTTTTTTTTTTTTTAAATGACCTTGACTCCCAAGTCGACTCAGCCTTGATGAGTCCAGGCCCGGGAAGTAAAAGTGGCTGACCTGATGCTGACCACATCACCTATTGTGTTCCGATTGGTCTATAAAAATATAGGTCTAGCCGTAAATTCCTTTACTTTTATTTCTCGCCAGAACCTGGCCTACCAATACTCCTTCCCCCCCCCCCCCCATGATCTGGGTTTTTATTTGACGCCTTGGGTTCATAGTTTGAATCGTTTTTGAAAATGTAACCTAATATAAAAGTAGTAAATGAATCGTAGGTAACAAAAAATTGTTACTTGTTATCATTCTAAATTTTGTTTTTGTATTTGTGAGGTTTTGTTGTGTACCTATTATTCTTTTTTGTTGTTGTTGAAAGAACTTGGCTCTGGGCGCAAGGGAACGTCGCTGGGGATGGGCCTCGCTAGACTGGTCGGAGTCACTGGAGAAACGGAGCTTATTATCTCTTGAAAGCCAAGGTGTCTGACTGATGTCTGCCAGTCTCCCTCTGCCAACTTCAAAACTCTAACATGTGTCCGATAAACCAACCGTAAGCTTTTCACTTGGTCGTTAAGGTAGCCGTCAGGTCTAATTGTCTACCGCAGCGACAATAAATATATTTAATGTAGAATCTCACAGTACCCGTTTCATAGTCAGGAGATGATCGAGGAATAGGGGTCATGACCCAGGTCGACCCACCCTCTTAAATTGTAATATTGCGCCATAAGGAGGCTAGAGACTCACTGCCCATGGCAATTGCGAGTGTAACAACTAGCAAGACCCGCCCGCTTTAAATAATAATTTCTTTTTACAATTATGTCATGGGATTTCAGAACTATTGCTGTGAACATTTGTGTTTATTTTTGTTTCTTCTCTGACGCTCAACTCTCATTCTTTCTGCAATCATTTTTGTCATTCTCATTCCCTTTCTGGTGTGCCCCCTCAACAACACGTTCCATGGCATTTATGTTCCCACGAGTCCACCTCAATAAGTGTATCATTCATGTCCTGCTTGCACACGTAATTATATCTTAGTAGAGGTCGGCCTCGACATCTTCTACCCGTCTTTAGTTCAGCACAGAGGATGTCCTTAGATACTCTGCCATTCTCTATTCTCTAGATGTGACCTAGGCACCAAAGCCATCGTAGACTGAGCATTGAGAAGACTGTTGTAGTACCTAGTCTTTCTAGTACCTCAATATTTGTGATTTTGTCCTGTCACTTAATGCCAAGTATTCTTTTTAGGCATCGCATGTGAAAGCTAGTTAGCCGTCCCTCCTGGTACAAATATGTTGACCAAATTGTACTGCGATAAAGCAGAGTGCTGGAATGACGGAAAGGTGCCAGTCGATCAGCATAGCACACTTTACACGTGAGTAGACAGGTAGGCAGAGCGGTGATTGGTGAAAACACAGATGAAACTGATACTGTAGTCTACACTGGTCGTATCCTACTGGGGGCCGGGGTGGGAAAGGGGGGAGGGGATGCCTTCCTAGGGGTCACAATTTTGAAACAATTATTCAAGTGAGTTCACTTGTGCTCATAAAAATTGGCTGTGTTTACATTCTGGTTTAGTTTGACTTAAAAACTATTTTTGCTAAACACAACAAACAAGAACATGTTTGTTATCATGTGAAGTTTGAAAATCTGCTGTTAAAACGTTTATTCTTTTGCTAACACGCACATTTAATTAAAGATTAAGAATACATTCTGACCAAAACGTCTCTAAATACTTTCTGTTTTTCTTGTTGCGGAAGCTGTTGCTCTCCTCTTTTTAAGCACATTTTGTTTTGTTGGGTACGGGCGGGAGGTAGGGAGAAAGGGGGGGGGGGGGGGAGGAAGGATATACTCAAGAGGGTGTAAGGATCTTGCCATGTTCTCAAGCGGGCGTAAGGATCTTGCCATATACTCACGAGAAAAAGGGTGGGGAAAGGGGGGGGGGAATTGGGGCGATTTGCCATACACACTCAAGAGAGCTTAAGAATCTTGCCATATACTCAAGGGGGCGTGGGGAGGGGGGTCTTGCCGGGTACTTAGGGGGGAGGGGTAGATTAGAGACAGGTGGTTAACATACGCTGATCAGTAATTCGTGAAAAGCGATGTGCATAGGCCTTCACAGTTAGCTAAGGGTGAGAGATAGAATGTGCCAGGGAGATAGAATGTGCCAGGGAGATAGAATGTGCCAGGGAGATAGAATGTGCCAGGGAGATAGAATGTGCCTGTAATATAGAATTTGCCTGTGAAATTGAATATGCCAGTGAAGTAGATTGTGCCAGTGAGATAGAGTGCACCAGTAAGATAGAATATGCCAGTAAGATAGAATATGCCAGTAAGATAGAGTGCGCTATGACATAGAATGTGCTAATGATATAGAATGTGCTAGTGAGATATAAATGTAGGAGAGTATGCGCCAGTGAGATAGCGCCAATGAGATGGAATGCGCTAGTGACAGAATACGGTAGTGAGATGGGCAGCCTTGGGTCGACCACGATGTTTCAGACACACAACTATAGCTATTGACCGATGACCCTGGGTATCAAAAATAAGGCTGTATTCACAACTGTTCGTATTGTAGATATGTACACAGGAATCGATTGCTTGCCAATTAGGAAGTAGCCTGTGGCCAGTCATAGACATGCCTGTCTTGTCACCACTGTCATTTATTATTGCATTAAATTCTTCTGATCCAGTACAGTGTGTTGTAGTTTGTATGGGGAAGGGGGGATGTTTGTATCGTTGATGTTTGCGAGGGCGGGTGTATGTATTGTTTAAAACAGTGTGGGCGTGTGTTTGTCTCTTTTGTATGTTTGTGTTGGCGAGTGTTTGTATTTATGATGTTTGTGTGGGCGAGTGTTTGTATCTTTGATGTTTGTGTGGGCGAGTGTTTGTAAAGTTGATGTTTGTGAAGGCAACTGTTTGTATCTTTGATGTTTGTGTGAGCGGGTTTTTTTTATCATTGTTAGTTGGCAAGAATTGTGTACATGTTTGTGAAAGTTAATATTTTTGTCGGTGAGGTTTGTGTGGGCGAGTGTTGTATCATTGAAGTGTGTGAAAGTGGGTGTTTGTATCTTTAATTTTCGCGAATGTTTGTATTGTTGATGCTTGTGGGGGTGAGTGTTGTATCGTTGATGTTTGTGTGGGCGGGTGTTGTATCGTTAAAGTTTGTGTGCGTGGGTGTTTGTATCATTGATGTTTGTGTGGGGGTTGTTTGTTTCGTTGATATTGGTGTTGGCGAGTGTTTGTATTATTGATGTTCTTGTGGGCGGGTGTTTTTATCGTTGATGTTTGTGTGGGCAAGTGTTCTATCGTTGATTTTTGGGTAAGTGGGTGTTTGTACCTTTGATTTTCCCAAAGGTGGGTGTTTGCATCATTGATGTTTGTGTGGGCGGGTTTTTATAGCGTTGACGTTGGTGTGGGTGGATGTTTGTATCATTGATGTTTGTGTGGGCGAGTGTTGTATCGTTAATATTTGTGAAAGTGGGTGTTTGTATCTTTGATTTTCCTAAAGACGGGTCTTTGTATCGTTGATGTTTGTGTGGGTGAGTATTTTATAGTTGATGTTTGTGAAAATTAGTGTTTGTATCAGTGATGATTGTGTGGGCGAGTGTTTGTATAAATAATGTTTGTGTGCGCGAGTGTTGTATCGTTGATATTTGTGAAAGTGGGTATTTGTATCGTTGATTGTCTCAAAGACGGGTGTTTGTATCGCTGATCTTTGTAAAGGCGGGTGTCTGTTTCGTTGATGTTTGTAAAGACGGATGTTTGTTTCGTTGCTGTTTGTAAAGGCGGGTGTTTGTATCGTTGATGTTTGTAAAGGCTGGTGTTTGTATCGTCGATGTTTGTAAAGGTGGGTGTTTGTATCGTCTATGTTTGTATGGGTGGGTGTTTTTATCGTTGTTGTTTGTGTGGGCGTGTATAGTATAGTTGATGTTTGTAAAAGTTGCTATTCGTATCAGTGACGATTGTGTGGGCGAGTTTTATATCGTTGATGTTGATGAAAGCAGGTGTTTTTATCTTTGATTTTCGCGAATGTTTGTATAATAGACGTGTGGTTGTATTGTTAATGTTTGTGTGGGCTGGTATTTGTATAGGTATTATTCGCGTAGGTCAGTGCTTGTCTCGGTGATGTTTGTAAAGGCGGGTGCTTGTCTCGGTGATGTTTGTAAAGGCGGGAATTTGTATCGCTGATGTTTGTAAAGGCGGGTGCTTGTCTCGGTGATGTTTGTAAAGGCGGGTGCTTGTCTCGGTGATGTTTGTAAAGGCGGGAATTTGTATCGTTGATGTTTGTAAAGGCGGGAATTTGTATCGTTGATGATTATGTGGGAATGTTTGTATAGCTGATGTTTGTAAAGGCGGGTGTTTGTATCAGTGATGTCTGTGTAAACAGGAAGAAGTAGGAAAGGCGGTGGGATGGGCGGTGGCATGGTTTATGTATGGTTTGTGTATGGTTTGTGTGTTTGTCAGGACGTTTGTGCAAGAAAGTACAATTGTTGGTGGTGTTTGAATCTGTTTAGATACATTATGTTTGTTTGAAGGATGTTTGTGCAAGTGATGTAAATGTTCCTTTAAATATAGTTGTTTGTTTACACGATTTGTGTCTTGGTGGTCTGATTTTTAGTGCAGACATTAGTTTGGGTCTATTGGCTGTTTTCTGGCTAATCTGTTAGGCGTTTACTTCTTCTAGGCTTGTGTGTATTAGAGGCGCTTGTAAGACTAATGGAAGCCGTCGTGATGTAGCAGCTAGACTCGCCCGAGGGTCGTGTTTCGAATCCGAACAGAGCTGGATTTTTTTTCATCTTAAAAAAAGGACCATGGCATCCAGGACTATCCAGCCTCTAATGGGTACAAGGTGAAGTCAAGGGAAGTAAAGGTGGTCGCCATGATGATTACGACATTCCTCACTGAGTGCCGACTGGTTTATAAAATATAAGTCTAGCCCTATATGCCCAATACGCTTGAAAGGCATTAAGAGAAGGGTCTGTTTGGTAAGCTAGTGTTTATTTCATAGGCTTCATTTAAACCAAACGGAGCTTTTAGTGACGATGTATTAGTTTGTCTACTCAGTTTAAGGCTGGTCACTCAAGTATGGGATTGTCCACTCAGTTTGTGGCTGGTCACTCAAGTATGGGATTGTCCTCTGAGTGTGGGGTTGGTCACTCGAGTATGAGGTTGTCCACTCATGTGATTCTGGTCACTCAAGTATGGGATTGTCCACTCATTGTGAGGCTGGTCACTCGAGTATAGGATTGTCCACTCATGTGAGGCTGGTCACTCAAGTATGGGATTGTCCACTTAGTTTGGCTGGTCACTCGTGTATGGGATTGTCCACTTAGTGTGAAGCTGGTCACTCAAGTATGGGAGTGTCCATTCGGTGTGAGGTTGGTCACTCAAGTATGGTATTGTCCACTCAGTTTGTGGCTGGTCACTCATGTATGGGATTGTCCACTCAGTGTGGGGCTGGTCACTCCAGTATGGAATTGTCCACTCATGTGAGACTGGTCACTCGAGTATAGGATTGTCCACTCATGTGAGGCTGGTCACTCAAGTATGGGATTGTCCACTCAGTTTTTGGCTGGTCACTCAAGTATGGGATTGTCCACTTAGTGTGAAGCTGGTCTCTTAAGTATGGGAGTGTCCACTCGGTGTGAGGTTGGTCACTCAAGTATGGGATTGTCCACTCAGTTTGTGGCTGGTCACTCATGTATGGGATTGTCCACTCAGTTTTTGGCTGGTCACTCAAGTATGGGATTGCCCCTCAGTGTGTGGCTGGTCACTCAAGTATAGGATTGTCAACTCAGTTTGTGGCTGGTCACTCAAGTATGGGATTGTCCACTCAGTGTGGGGCTGGTCACTCCAGTATGGAATTGTCCACTCATGTGAGGCTGGTCACTCAAGTATGGGATTGTCCACTCATTGTGAGGCTGGTCACTCGAGTATGTGATTGTCCACTCATGTGAGGCTGGTCACTCAAGTATAACATTGTCCACTCAGTGTGAGGCTGTTCACTCAAGTATGGGATTGTCCACTTAGTGTGAAGCAGTTCACTCAAGTATGAGAGTGTCCACTCAGTGGGAGGTTGGTCACTCAAGTATGGGATTGTCCACTCAGTTTTTAGCTGGTCACTTAAGTATGGGATTGCCCCTCAGTGTGAGGCTGATCACTCAAGTATGGGATTGTCCACTCAGTTTGTGGCTGGTCACTCAATTATGACATTGTCCACTCAGTTTGTGGCAAGTCACTCAAGAATGGGATTGTACACTCAGTGTGAGGCTGGTCACTCAAGTATATGATTGTCCACTTAGTGTGAGGCTTATCACTCAAGTAAAGGATTGTCCACTCTGTGTGAGGCTCCTCACTTAAGTATGAAAGTTTCCACTCAGTTCATAGCTGATTATTGAAATGTCCCATGCAATCATCCTTGGTAAATGCAAGCAATCTATTTTATTGTAACAATGATTGAGAGGCACACCCAGAAAATGGCCAACTGTGTCTCGTCAGATCGTAAGTCAGCATTGGTGTTGCCTGGTCACAGTTCCATATGGCTAGACTGTTTTCTGTCTCCACTCTCCAGACCCACGAATGACTGTGTTTCAGAACGCTCGGTCTTGGACAGTCTCCACTGTCTCTATGTTTGTGTTTCAGATGGCTCGATCGTGGACTGTGTCCACTTTTAACTGTCACATATGTGTGTGTTTCAGATGGCTCGATCGTGGACTGTGTCCACTCTTAACTGTCACATATGTGTGTGTTTCAGATGGCTCGGTCGTGACCTGTCTTAACTGTCAAATATGTTTGTGATTCAGATAGCTCGGTTATGGGCTATCTCTACTCTCAACTGTCAAATATGTTTGTGTTTTAGATAGCTCGGTTATGGGCTATCTCTACTCTCAACTGTCAAATATGTTTGTGTTTCAGATGATTTGGTCGTGGACTGTCTCCACTCTCAACTGTCACATATGTTTGTGTTTCAGATGGTTCGGTCGTAATCTGTCTCCACTCTCAACTGTCACACATGTTTGTATTTCAGATGGGCGCTTGTCTGTTGCCGCTGACCATGAGTAGACTTGGATCCCTGCTCCATGTGGCCTTGCTGTCTGCCATTTGCTTTCTTGGGTAAGTTGGTCAACGGTTGCCATAATAGTTTGTTACAGTTGTCATGAGAAGTAGGCATCCTGTTTACACATGGTCAGGATGGGTCATCTGTTTACACATGGACAGGGTGGGTCACCTGTTACACGTGGATAGGATGGGTCACCTCTTAACATGTGGACAGGATGGATCACTTTTTTACACGTTGACGGGGATGGGTCACCAGTTTAAACATTGACAGGATAGGTCATCTGTTTACACATGGACGGGGATGGGTCTCTGGTTTACACGTGGTCGGGGATGGGTCACCAGTGTAAAGGCGGACAAGATGGAACACCTGTGTACACATGGGAGGGATGAGTCACTTGTAGACACGTGGATGGGATGGGTCTTTAGAATAGGCACATGATGTGTGGAGGCAGGCAGAGATCCTTTCTATAGACTGGTATAGAGGATATATATAACTATAGACAGAACATTGAAGCCGGCATATACAGGACAGAGAGGCGGGCATAGATAGGACATAGAGGCGTACATAGACGGAACATAGAGGCAGGTACAGACAGGGCATAGAGGAGGACATAGACAGGACATAGAGTCGGGCATAAATAGGACACAGAGACGGTCATAGAGAGAACATAGAGGCAGACATAGACAGGACATAGAGGCGGGTATAGATAGGGCATAAAGGTGGGCATAGACATGACATAGGGGCGGGAATAGACATGACCTAGAGGCGGGCATAGACGAGACATAGAGGCGGGCATAGACAGGACATAGGGGCGAACATAGACAGGACATAGAGGCGGGCATAGATAGGACATAGAGGCGGGCATAGACAGGGCATAAAGGCGGGCATAGATAGGACATAGAGGCGGGCATAGATAAGACATAGAGGCGAGCATAGACAGGGCATAAAGGCGGGAATATACATGACATAGAAGAGGGCATAGACAGGACATAGAGGCGGGTGTAGATAGGACATAGAGGCGAGCATGGACAGGGCATAGAGGCGGGCATAGACAGGACATAGAGGCGGGCATAGACAGGACATAGAGGCGGGCATAGACATGACATATATGCGGGCATAGACAGGACATAGAGGCGGGCATAGACAGGACATAGAGGCGGGTATAGACATGACATAGAGGCGGGCATAGACAGGACATTGAGGCGGGCATAGACATGACCTAGAGGCGGGCATAGACGAGACATAGAGGCGGACATAGACAGGACATAGCGGCGAGCATAGACATGACATAAAGGCGGGCATAGACAGGACATAGGGGCGAACATAGAGGCGGGCATAGATAGGACATAGAGGCGGGCATAGATAGGACAAAGAGGCGAGCATAGACAGGGCATATAGGCGGGCATAGACAGGACATAGAGGCGGGCATAAACAGGGCATAGAGGTTGGCATAGACATGACATAGAGGTGTACAGAGACATGACATAGATGTGTACATAGACAGGACATAGAGGTGTACATAGTCATGACATAGAGGTGTACACAGACATGACACAGAGGTGTACATAGGCATGACATAGAGGTGTACATAGACATGACATAGAGGTGTACATAGACAGGACATAGAGGTATACATAGACATGACACAGAGGTGTACATAGACATGACATAGAGGTGTACATAGACATGACATAGAGGCGGGCATAGACAGGGCATAGAGGCGGGCATAGACAGGACATAGAGGCGGGCATAGACAGGACATAGAGGCGGGCATAGACAGGACATAGAGGCGGGCATAGACAGGGCATAGAGGCGGGCATAGACAGGACATAGAGGCGGGCATAGACATGACATAGAGGCGGGCATAGACATGACATAGAGGCGGGCATAGACATGACATAGGGGCGAGCATGGACATGACATAGAGGCAGGCATAGACAGGACATAGAGGTGAGCATAGACATGACATAGGGGCGGGCATAGACATGAACTAGAGGCGGGCATAGACAGGACATAGAGGCGGGCATAGACAGGACATAGAGGCGAGCATAGACATGACATAGAGGCGAGCATAGACATGACATAGAGGCATGCATAGACATGACATAGAGGCGGACATAGATATGACATAGCGGCGAGCATAGACATGACATAGAGGCGAGCATAGACATGACATAGAGGCGGGCATAGACATGACATAGAGGCGGACATAGACATGACATAGAGGCGAGCATAGACATGACATAGAGGCGGACATAGACATGACATAGAGGCGGGCATAGACATGACATATAGGCAGGCATAGACATGACATAGAGGCGGACATAGACATGACATAGAGGCGAACATAAACATGACATAGAGGCGAGCATAGACATGACCTAGAGGCGGGCATAGACATGACATATAGGCGGGCATAGACAGGACATAGAGGCGGACATAGACTGGACATAGAGGATTACATAGGCGGGAATATCTGGCATGGTTATCACAGCATAATAAGGATTCTGGGTTAGGCACGGATATCATCTTGTCATCAGTTTCCACTTCCCCACATACGACATTACTGTACGCTAACAGTGTCCACTTTCCCACATACGACATTACTGTACGCTAACAGTGTCCACTTTCCCACATACGACATTACTGTACGCTAACAGTGTCCACTTTCCCACATACGACATTACTGTACGCTAACAAGGTCCACTTTCCCACATACGACATTACTGTACGCTAACAGTGTCCACTTTCCCACATACGACATTACTGTACGCTAACAGTGTCCACTTTCCCACATACGACATTACTGTACGCTAACAGTGTCCACTTTCCCACATACGACATTACTGTACGCTAACAGTGTCCACTTTCCCACATACGACACTACTGTACGCTAACAGTGTCCACTTTCCCACATACGACATTACTGTACGCTAACAGTGTCCACTTTCCCACATACGACATTACTGTACGCTAACAGTGTCCACTTTCCCACATACGACATTACTGTACGCTAACAGTGTCCACTTTCCCACATACGACATTACTGTACGCTAACAGTGTCCACTTTCCCACATACGACATTACTGAACTCTAACAGTGTCCACTTTCCCACATACGACATTACTGTACGCTAACAGTGTCAACTTTCCCACATACGACATTACTGTACGCTAACAGTGTCCACTTTTCCACATACGACATTACTGTACGCTAACAGTGTCCACTTTCCCACATACGACATTACTGTACGCCTGAATATCTGATCCACAACACTACAGTCATAATGTCCAACCCCACACGGAGCCTGCTGTGCCCATTCCGCCTCCCCCCCCCCCCCCCCATATTAGTACACCGTATGTAAGCCACGTCTTAGAATGTCCACCGATTTTGTTGCTGGCATGTATAACATCACCGCCTACCACACCCATTACACAACACAGTTTCACGCAACAAAGACAGTCTCACATAATACAGACAGTCTCTCACAACACAGACAGTCTCATACAATACAGGCAATCTTACAGAATTGAGACAAAACCCAGATAACAATCAGTCAGGAAATAACCAGCCAGCAAAGAAAAATCCAGATAGCCAACCAGTTAGCGAGTCAACAGTCAACCAGACAGCTCACAGCCGAAAACCAACCACCCAGATAGCCAACCAGTCAGCGGGTCAACAATAAATCAAACAGCTAACAGCCGGCAATAAATCAAACAGCTAACAGCCGGCAATCAACCACCCAGGTAACTAACCAGTTAGCGAGTCAACAATCCACCACACAGCCAATAGCCGGCAATCAATCAAGCAGTTAAAAGCTGGCAATCAACCACCCTGGTAGCCAACCAGTTAGCGAGTCAACAATCAACCAGACAGCTAACAGCCGAAAATGAACCACCCAGTAGCCAATCAGTCAGCGGGTAAACAGTCAACTAGGCAGCCAGCAGTCAAACACCCAGGTAGCCAACCAGTCAGTGGGTCAACAATCAACCAGACAGCTACCAGCCGACAGTCAACCACCCATTGTAGTCAACCAGTCAGCTGGTCAACAATCAACCAGAAAGATAAAAGCCGGTAATCAACAACCAAGGTAGTCAACCAGTCACCGCGTCAACACTCAACAACCCAAGAAGTCAACCAGAATGCGGGTCAACAATCAACCAGACAGCTAACAGCCGGTAATCAACGACCCAGTAGTCAACCATGCGATCAATAGCCATCATAAGGTTGCTATCCAAAGACAGGAGGTTGGTTTCCAACATCCTGTTGACTGTTTATTCTCACTGAAATATACAGGCTGCCTTAACTAGGTCTGAGTATGTATTCTTTTGGATGCTAAGATACAAGGGCATCATCTGAAGCACTAGAAACTTTCTAAATGTAAACGTGCTTGATTTATGAGCCAGTAATGAGAGGCTGCGTTTGCTTTTCACTAATTGAAAAGCAATACATTTTCTTACACAATGTTGAATGTTGAATGTTGAATTAGGAATCGATATCACAGCACTCGGGACACTTCCATAAGTGCTCAGTCCCTATCTTCAGCAGCAAGCGAAGCATTAAAATCCCGATGGTATCAGTAACTGTCTACCCGTCTCGCCTCTCCCCTGAGTATCGAGTGTCGGCCAAATCTTCTTGCAGTGCCATACTGCAGAGACCATATTGATCTATCTGTGCCTCGGCACTATTCACTCTCTCCCAAAGGACCCTCACAACATCCAGCTTTCTCACACAATGTTTAGATTATTGTTTCACTATTTGAACAACACGGCGATCTGTGTTTGCTGTACCAGATGGCTGCTTGTGCTTTTTCAACTAACAACATAATGCTCTATGGGCAACACGGATGACCGTTCCATACCCTAGACTGCAAACAACATAACTCATTGTTCGTTGTTAATTTCTGAGATCATCTTCATCACACATCGGACATGACCATAAGTGCTCCGTCTCTCTCTATCTCTCTCTCTCTCTCTCTCTCTCTCTCTCTCTCTCTCTCTCTCTCTCTCTCCCTCCCTCCCTCTCTCAGCACGACCCAATAATCGCGTTTCGTTCATTGCCTAATTTGACTTTTTAATTTCAGAGTCTCCGTATTATCTGCCGGGTCAGATTCAAGCCGGACATTGAACAAACGATCTTCAGCTAGAAATCGACATCGAGTGCGGTTGATCTTTTACCCTCGAAACTTCAGCAAGAGACCTTTCGACGAGCTCGCCAGTGGTCTAGTGGGCAAGCGATCGGAAGATCTGGGCAGCGAGCTCATTGGGAAACGTCCCTTTGATGAACTAAGCAGGGGGCTTGTTGGAAAACGTCCGTTTGATGAACTAGGCAACGGGCTTGTTGGAAAGCGTCCTTTTGATGAATTGGGCAATGGGCTTGTTGGAAAGCGTCCATTTGATGAACTAAGCAGGGGGCTTGTTGGGAAACGTCCGTTTGATGAACTGGGCAATGGGCTTGTTGGAAAACGTCCTTTTGATGAACTGGGCAATGGGCTTGTTGGAAAACGTCCTTTTGATGAACTGGGCAATGGGCTTGTTGGAAAACGTCCGTTTGATGAACTAAGCAGGGGGCTTGTTGGAAAACGTCCATTTGATGAACTAGGAAATGGGCTTGTTGGAAAACGTCCGTTTGATGAACTAAACAGGGGGCTTGTTGGAAAACGTCCATTTGATGAACTAGGAAATGGGCTTGTTGGAAAACGTCCGTTTGACGAACTAAGCAGTGGGCTTGTTGGAAAACGTCCATTTGATGAACTAAGCAGGGGGCTTGTTGGAAAACGTCCATTTGATGAACTAGGAAGTGGGCTTGTAGGAAAACGCCCATTTGATGAGCTAGGCAATGGGCTTGTTGGAAAACGCCCTTTTGATGAGCTGGGAAATGGGCTTGTAGGAAAACGACCATTTGATGAGCTGGGAAATGGGCTTGTTGGAAAACGCCCATTTGATGAGTTAGGCAATGGGTTTGGTGTAAAACGAGCATATAATAAATATGCCAGTGGTTTTTCTGGGAAGCCGCCGTTGTCACAACAGATGGGAACAAACTTTGAAGATGAGAATGATTTTGACCTTGTGCTCGATTCACACAGGACGCAAGCAGGCGTCAGCAAGATACCGTTGGACGAACTGGCTAAGGGACTCAGAAATCGACCTTGGTTCCACAACAGAGAAGAGGGGCAGAATTTGTTACTACCAGCCGAGCTGGAGTCAATGTTACTAAAGCCAAGGTCACATCGATCAACCATGTAAGGTTAAGCCAGGGGTCAGAAGTTATGCCCCTTTTAAGCAAAAATTAAAGTTTCTTTTCGTATGAGCTTATGGCCTACAGTATTTCTGTATCGCATGACGGCTGTGTGGCGTGTGAGAATACTTACACACACTCATCAACAAACACAAGCACAGACACAGTCAAAGAATCATAAACACACACACGAACACACACGTTGACTACAATGTTTTATAACGCCTGCAGGAAACAGATCTGACATGACTGCCTAATGTTGTTACATGAGACAGATTTAACATAACGGCTGAATGTTGTTACATGAGACAGATTTGACATGACGGCTGAATGTTGTTACATGAGACATATATGACATGACGGCTGAGTGTTGTTACATGAGGCAGATCTGACATGACGGCTGAATGTTGTTACACGAGACAGCTCTGACATGACGGCTGAAAGTTGTTACATGAGACAGATCTGACATGACGGCTGAGTGTTGTTACATGAGACAGATTTGACATGACGGCTGAAAGTTGTTACAGGAGACAGATTTGACATGACGGCTGAATGTTGTTACATGCGACAGATTTGACAGGGCGGCTGAATGTTGTTACATGAGACAGATTTGACATGACGGCTGAGTGTTGTTACATGAGGCAGATTTGACATGACGGCTGAATGTTGTTACATGAGACAGATCTGACATGACGGCTGAGTGTTGTTACATGAGACAGATTTGACATGACGGCTGAAAGTTGTTACATGAGACAGAATTGACCTGACGGCTGTGTTGTTACATGAGGCAGATTAGACATGACGGCTCAATGTTGTTACACGAGACATATCTGACATGACGGCTCAATGTTGTTACATGAGACAGATCTGACATGACGGCTGAATGTTGTTCATGAGAAAGATCTGAAATGAAGGCTGAGTGTTGATACATGTGACAGATCTGACGATGAGCTAAGAAATGGGCTTGTTGAAAAACGTCTATTTGATGAGCTGGGAAATGGGCTTGTAGGAGCACGTCCAGTTGATGAGCTAGGCAATATGCTACTGAGAGACACTTGTCTATTCCTAACTATAACAAACATTTGCAAATGGCCACGAACATGGTCATAGGGCCAGAGGTCGGGTAAAAGGGATTTAACCCTGAAAATATCTTTTTACTGTGAGAGCAAATACACGCATTATCTACCTTTCAAAATTTTAAATAAAGGCTTTCTCTTTCTTTCTTTCTCTCTTTCTTTAAAAAATTTCTTTCTGTCTTTCTTTCTGTCTTTCGTTCTGTCTTTTTGTCTGTCTGTCTTTCTTTCTTTCTCCCTTTCTTTCTTTTTAAAATTTTTTTAAATTGTTTAATTTTTTTTCCTTTTATTCTTCTTTTTCTTTTTGTCTTTCGTTCTGTCTGTCTGTCTGTCTGTCTGTCTTTCTTTTCTTTCTTTCTTTCTTTCTTTCTTTCTTTCTTTCTTTCTTTCTTTCTTTCTTTCTTTCTTTCTTTCTTTCTTTCTTCTTTCTTTCTTTCTTTCTTTCTTTCTTTCTTTCTTTCTTTTTCTTTCTTTCTTTCTTCTTTCTTTCTTTCTTTCTTTCTTTCTTTTCTTTCTTTCTTTTCTTTCTTTCTTTCTTTCTTTCTTTCTTTCTTTTCTTTCTTTCTTTCTTTTCTTTCTTTCTTTCTTTCTTTCTTTCTTTCTTTCTTTCTTTCTTTCTTTCTTTCTTTCTTTCTTTCTTTCTCTTTCTTTCTTTCTTTCTTTCTTTCTTTCTTTCTGTCTGTCTGTCGTTCTGTCTGTCTGTCTGTCTGTCTGTCTGTCTGTCTGTCTGTCTGTCTGTCTGTCCCTGTCTGTCTGTCTGTCTGTCTGTCTGTCTGTCTGTCTGTCTGTCTGTCTGTCTGTCTGTCTGTCTGTCTGTCTGTCTGTCTGTCTGTCTGTCTTTCTTTCTTTCTTCTTTCTTTCTTTCTTTCTTTCTTTTTCTTTCTTTCTTTCTTTCTTTCTTTCTTTCTTCTTTCTTTCTTTCTTTCTTTCTTTCTTTCTTTCTTTCTTTCTTTCTTTCTTTCTTTCTTTCTTTCTTTCTTTCTTCTTTCTTTCTTTTCTTTCTTTCTTTTTTTCTTTTTCTTCTTCTTCTTCTTCTTCTTCTTCTTCTTCTTCTTCTTCTTCTTCTTCTTCTTCTTCTTCTTCTTCTTCTTCTTCTTCTTCTTCTTCTTCTTCTTCTTCTTCTTCTTCGTCTTCTTCTTCTTGTTCTATTTCTTCTTCTTCTTCTTTTTCTCCTTCTCTTTCTTTTTCTTATTTTTAATCTTCTTCCTGCTTCTTTCTTCTTGTTTTCTTTTATTCTTCTTCAATTTTTCTTCCTTCTTTCTTTTTTTCTTTTTTTTTCTTCTCATCCTGCTTTTTTTTCTATATAGACTTTACAGGCTGTCCTAGAGGTCCTAAACAAGATTTAACTAGGCTAGTTAACAACAGTCTTCGTCTGTGTCTTTAGCTTAGCGAACCCGCTTTGTAATGCCGAAGAACCGGGTTCGATCCCAGCTGCACTCTTGCACGCTGCGTTGGTTTCGAAAGTGGTATCGAGAAGAAAACCGCCCAGAAAGCCATGGCAAACTACTGGAAGTAAACTTGCCTACAAAAACCACAGGAGCCCCTAAAAATGCTGGAGCTGGTACTGCACAGTTCTGTAAGGGTTACGTAACTAACTTTAGTGACCACCTGCCGAGAGCATCGGACACAGCACTAACTTCGCAGCTCTAGCGACATTCACAGAATTGCAGAAGTTTAAGGGGTCACTACACCAAAAAAAAATTATTTTTTTTTATTTACAGAGTTAGAACAGTTATTTTATAATGGTCATTTGTAGGGATACAAGTTATTACATTTGTATACTTTAAGTGTTAAAAAATTCATAGTTGTCATGGCAATAGCCGCCATCTTGTGAAAAAAACAATACGTACTTAGGATCCTAAAATGTTTAAAACAAACATGGGTATTCAACAATAGATGATGGATTCATAACCTTTTATCCTATTTACAGGTACAGGTCTAGTTTATATACTTTAAACATGTTTTTAAATATTTGTCGCAGAATTTTGAAAAGTAGGTTTATTGAAAAAGTCAAAAAAATCTAGCATCATTGGACAATAATCAAATTTTAAAAACAAAAACTTTCTAAAATCTACTTTTAGATAGACCAGTCTCTATAATATTGTTTACGGAGTATGCATACAAAATGTCATGTTTCTACTCTTTATATTAGCTTAGATTTTAGGATTTCACACACACAGCAAACTGAAATACAGAGATTTGAGAAAACTGACTTTTAAACTTTTTTTTTCTCTTAAAAAAGTGCACGATGAGGTGTCGTTAGTATTAACGTTTCAATGCTAAATTGTTTACAAATGACATACATTTTGTGTGTCATCTATTCTACGAATGCCGAACTTTACAAAAACGAACACATTGAAAAAGTGATATTTTTGTCATAAATTGGAAAAAATGCCGTGTAGTGACCCCTTAAAAAGAAATGACCAAAGTTGAGTGTGCGAGGTAAACAGCTCGACATCTTTGCCATGGATATCCATCATAAGTCTCACACATGACTTATGTAAAGAGAATTACACACCTGGCTTCCAAAACGTTATGTACATCAATATACTGACTATGAGGTGCTATTAGTTCAGATGTTTCACTTGTGATAAATGGCCAAAAATGTATATACAGCATAACTGCAGATGACATGAATTGTTTCGATTTGTGTACGGAAAAAAAAAATATTATATATATAAAACACAATTTTGATAATAAAGGAATGTAACCACAATTTAAAGAAATAATCAACAAGGGAGACCATTTTATCTGCGCAACAAGAGAGACCGAATGTTTAGATAATGTTTCCAGATGAAAGAAACTTACCATTTAGTAGGCATGTCATCCGAGGAGCTAGCCAATTTGTACAAAGTCGCAACAACCATTTGACATGTATTTAATGTACCTTATTTTCAACAGTGCAACAGTTTACACAAATGACAACATCCTAAAGTTTAGTGTCATAGCCCTGTGGGACAGAGTATAGACAATACGTCGTGTAACTACATATTGATGTTTGACGGACCAAAAATGTGCACGGAAAAGGGTTTCTCACCCTTTGAAAGTCTTAATTGTCTGCCAGTGTTCCTCTTCCACCTGCTAATAAAAGTCCAACATGTGTCCGGTAAACCAATCGTAAGCTTGTCGCTCGGTCGTCCAGGCACGCTGACTGTTCTAATTAGGCTGCCGCAACGACTTCTTATCTCACAGTACCTTCTGCAAACCACCAAGTCGTCTTGTCTCTATCCGAAAGAAAAACACCATCCGGTAATTTCGTGCAGCAGTGAACCAGCCCTGAGCTTCATGAACTCAGGTGGGCCCACCTCCGAAAGCGTCTAGGAATCGTGGGCCGAAACGCTCGTTGACGAGGATAATTTCTACTGACGACTGGTAGATCCCTGCTGTACTTGCTCCCTGTGAGTTTATTCTTATTGTCTTTCTTTTCCAAGACCCTTCGATGAGGGAGAGAGTAGAAGGTGGCTGGAGAGGGGGGGGGGGGATTGTCCACATCGGAGACTATCGTGCCATTTCTATTTTCTTTCTTTTCCATTTAGCTAAACTATGCCACAGCAACGCATGGCGGCGTACAGCCAATATATATAAATAGTATATGTATTATAAAGAATCAGGTATTAAATCTCAAACTTGAAGAAGATCACAAACCCAACTTTCAGACCGAAAAGCAAGAGTCTAGTAACTACTATACCACAACTCTCCCGATACGTCTGCTATAGTTTAAACAATGTGTTATTTTTGCAAGCACAGTACAAATTATCTTTATGAGAACAAACAGTTATACCGCCAACACACTTCGTTCCTCTGTAGTCCGCTATAGCTGCAACAGTGCACATTATACAGTTTTTTTTTTTTTTTGGGTGGGGGGGGGGGGGGGGGGGGGGGGATTGGTGGTCATGACAAATATGAAAACATAAACGATAAACCATTGTGTTCTA